TTCTATATTTAGTTATTATATTTAACCTGGGAGTTGTCTTTAGAGTTTTAGCCTGAATCGTTTTTCTCATGGTACAGACTCGATGTCCAGAATTTAATATTTAAACCTTGTCTTGACAGTTTTTCCATATGTTGTATTTCCATATGATTGGGGAAACCTTTCGTACTGGTAAATTGTACTTTTATGCAATTTTATTTAGTTTCAATGTTTGACTTTTTCTTTCCAATCTATTTATTTTTCAGCTTTAAGAGTCAAACATCTCTTTATATTCATAGTTTACGTTTTGGTTCCAAAATATAGAAAGAATTGTACACTCGTTGGATAGCTAGTTATTTTATGAGAATCAGGTTTAAAAAGAGATGAGGTACATTTTGAAAGCCGTATTAAAGAAGATGGTTAATCCGAGAGAGATATTTTAGAGCGACTGGTCGTCAATCTTTTAAATTGTTCCAGCCTTACTCTAGAATTCAAATTTTGTATTGTTGCATGGTTTTAAAGGTATTGAACTAGTCAATGCTACTAAATGATGAGTTTCAGATATTGCTCTGGCTGGACCAGGATTTAAACTGGAATTGATTTACCGGGATAATGTGTTGTTTTTTTGTTGTTGACTTCTCTGACTTTGGTCCCTGGTGCATGAAATTACAAAGTTCATTTTCCTGTCTAACAAAGTTGGGAACCAGTTGGCGCATGTTTTTTTTTTATCTTGGAATGTCAGAATGTGTGACATCATTAACTTAATTGATTGAAAAATTTTTTATGAACAACTACTGTAGTTTTTCTTTTTAAGTTATCGGTCAAGTCTAAATTTCTTGTGTGGGAAATTAGTAGTTCAAACAAACTTAAAGCACTAACATGACTAAGGAAGTAAGGTCAAATAATTTCCTTTTACTTGGTTAATTTACACAGGCACTTGTCTCTGAAATTTTTCCCCCCTATATACCTTAATATAACACAAGGTACTTAACTCCCATTTTTGAAAAATGACAATCGGTCGCGAACTTTCATTATATTTTGATTCCTCGGTTGTCTACCCCACTAAAACTTGTATAGTGTATGACACGCCTACCTTTGTTGTCAGAATCATTCGTAGCAGGCCTCCCAAGTATGTCAACTGTAATTATTTTGTCTTCTCACAGCCCCTTGGAAATATTAATCTCACAGTAAATGGTTAATTATACTTGTCCCTTTGGTATCTTTCCCCTCTCTTATACATATCTCGGTGTGTGATTGGTCAAATCTTATTGCTAAAAATAAATGTTTTTTGGAGCTATCTCAATTTTATATGTAATATCCAGCGAGAGTCTGAATGACATTGATGGAATGAAAAATTTGAGTTTAAAAATAGAAACTTGTAACTCATTAGACATACCTCAAGTCAAATAACACTTATTAGATTATTTTCATGGAATCTTTTACAAATTTACGTTCTTGATGATAAGTTCTATTCAGAGATAAAACTAATAGGTTTTTGGGAAATACTTTTTATAATAATCATTCACTGCCAGATTAATATTTCCAAAGGGCTGTGAGAAGACGAAATAATTACGGTTGACATACTTGGAAAGCCTATTAAGAATGATTCCGATAAAGAAATGGCGTGTTATACACCATTTTGTAGAAAAATCAATGTTGATTTACGGGAAAACAAGTTTCAGTTGGATAGACAACCCCAAAAAGCGAAATATAAAGGAAGTACAGGACCAGGTGACATTTCTCAAATATAAGAGTTAGGTACCTTGTGTTATATTAAAGTATATAGGTATTTTTTTCAGAGACAAGTGCCTATGTTAAGTTATCATGGTTTTTTTCCACTGCAAATGCAGCTTCTGTTTTGTATCATGTAAAGGAAAGTTGGATTGTTAAAATGTATTAAAAGATTTAAATTTCATAAAGCCATACTGCGATCTGGCGATGTTTGTATTTTATTGTCTGTCTATTCTAAATATGAAACTGTTTCATTGATCTTGATTATTTGTTAAATGAGCGAATGCATTGCTTGACGCAATTGACACCTCTTTGGCTCTTGCCATTTCTAGATTACTGACACCAGTCATTTGTTGTATAGATGTATTTACACTTGCATTGTATGCAAATTTGTCCGCCATTACGTAAAATCACACAAGTTCCTGTAAAATTTGACGTCACAATTTTAAAAAGTTTACCTCACAATTAAAAAGTGATTGTTGCTTGACGTCAGAAGGTTATCCGGAGCAGATCTAAGGTCATTGGGAGACAAAATTCAGCTAAATACCAAAAGTGTAAATACATTTATTGTGCTGTTTCTGAGGATAGTCAGTATGTTGTCAGAAGACCTACAGTGAATGCACAGGCGGAACCCTGCTCTACATAAACAATTTAACTAACAGGGTATAATTCACAAAACATGGATGGAACATTCGTTTATATATGTATAAATAGGTATGGCAAACCAATAGGAGATAACTCCAAATTACCCTAAATAATTGTTCCCAGATGTGTGTAAAAATAAAATCTTTGGGTGACCTCCGATTACGGCCTTCTATTAACTTGTTAAGTCTCAGAAGGTTCTGATTGCTTTTGATAGATATTATATGAATATTCATGATTCTGTATATTATAATTTTCGGGAATACGATGAAATATTTGAGGTACAAACAAGGGTTTGAAAGTAACATTCGTTTCAATAAAATACAAGGGAACGTTATACAGCCATAAAATGTACTTTTTTATTAAGTTTAATATATTAATCAAATAATTAGGTCCAATGAATAAATCTAGATAGCTGTTTTCATATCAAAATTAATTTTTATAAATAACTCTCCTTTTTGTGTATACATAGCTATTTCCCTTGCCTGGACAACTTTTGGTTTAGTTTTGATTGGAAATCAGCGTGATAGGTTTTTTTTTTGCATTTTACAGCCAGTTTATTGCGATTTAAAGATAGTTTAACCATTTGCCATTGCACACGAGATACAATGTGGTAAGGATACTGAATAATGTGGTTTAACAACAATCAATATATGTATTTTCAACATGTTCAACTAAAAGCATACATAGGAATCCATGCAGTAGTTGTAGTTCACTTCGTCTGCTATTCACAGTTAAGGTTTTAGAAAAAAAAAAACCAACATGGTAATTCATTCCCCTGTCATCAATTCTCCCCTGTCTTCCATCCCATATTGATACAAGAAGATTCCCCTTCCCACCTTTCCCTGACTGCCACTTTCCAAGTTGAAAGTTATATTAATTATTATACAAATACTATTTGTCTTAGAATAATTAATATAACTTTCAAAATAATATTAATATGACCCTATTTTTCAGACTGTATTTAACAGTACACTATAAAGATATTATTTTTTGTATACATATTTGTGTGTGTGTGTGTGTGATCACATTAACTGAGTTGTTGAAATTTTCCCCACATATATGTTCTAAACACAATGGTACAATTAAATAAGGGAACGTAACGGATACTACAGCTATCTACACATACAGACTGCTCGAGGATTATCGAGCCAAAAAACTTGAGATAATACCGGAGATGGTAGGTCTCAAACCATGTTTGAAGTTCTGTTCAAGATTCGTTTTGCATGTAGTTGCACCGGAAGTGCAATTTTTTAATATGATTTCAGCATGATCATGTATAGGAATACATGAACTAATCAAGTTTTACCTTGGAGCTTACCACTTTCTGTATTGATCAGTATTGAAGTAATTTCATGTCGAGAAAAAAAAACACTAGCGAACACCATGCAATTTAATATATATCCTGAAATAATAATTATATTATATCTGGGAAGCTAAAGTCATACTAACAACTAATGCTTGATTCAGTGAAACTTGTCTAAACCAAACCCTGAATAAACCGGAAACCATGTTCTGAAGTCCCTTCATCTCAGATTCAACATGTTCAATGCATTTTGAACTTCAGTCGTGAATGAGATTGGTTTACAGATTTCACTGTATAAACATTGTAACTGATTTACAGATATGAATTTACTTTACTTTTATACATACAAGTATTTACAGTGATCTGACATAATTATTTTGTTTGAAATTTCTCAAATATAAATAGTGTTATATTTATTTTCATTGTTTTTCAGTGCAACAGGTATTTTAGACCTGTAGTTTAATTGTTGGAAGGTTGTTGTTTATTTTCATTTATAAGCATTCACTATACATGCTATATAAGAATAAGAATATTTCATTAAATAGAATGTTAATGAAAAGGAACATTCTAAAACTATCATGACTATACAAAGACAGATGACATACTTCAAAACTTTTCTCGTCTCTCATGGTACACACACACAAACATATACATTTGTATATAAATAGTAATATTCATATTTTAAATTATATTTTGTTTCTTTACATTCAAATGTTTATAAAAAAAAGTTTTACTTTACATTTTCAATATACCAACTGATGTTCTGAAGAAAGGAATATATAAAGGTATCGTCATGTTACGTGACTTTGGACGATAGAATTTCACGAGAGTGGTTGACATTTTCATGCTTTATGCTTCTATTTTGACCAAAAAACTTAACATGTAGGATTGAAATTGACTAACAAGATGTAAAAGAAGCAATATAAACAAAACTATAACCCAAATGATTAAAAAAATGTATTTTATTATTTTTAAAGAGAGGAAACAGTTTTTCTAGAATAGTATTGATTGATTGTTGGTTGCTTAACGTCCAGTGGCAAATATTTCATGCATGTTCAGGACGATCTAGAATAGTAAAAAATTACCATTTTGAAAATTTGCTATTTCTTCGTTGTTATTATGTGTATTGATAAAAGTGAAAATGTTTTGAAAATGTCTTCACAATGCCTTTAAAATGAGGTAAAGTTTTCTTAGATCAGTTGATGTTAAAAAAAAACTTTCCGTACCTAGTAGTATAAAACTAATCCCTTTTGCAAAAGGGATTATATAAAACCTGTTTAAGTTGAAGAAAGGACTTGAACCTGCAACATAAAACCGACGTTAATGATTGAATTCACTTCATTACTTGATTAACAGCATCCTGTAGCTGTGTCAGTCTGTCTGCCATTTCAAATCTGCCACTAATTTAGTCTAAACTCTATGCATATAATTTTAGCTAGGTAAAATAGCAGTGTCAGCCTTGATCTTTTACAAAGGGCTGAGTAATAACCAACAAATGGCACAATGCAACATTGTACAACAATTTCCGTGTTTTTACACTACGTTCGAAAGTACCGATGTCTGTTCATCATCGCCTGTGAATACATCACAACATGTTTAATTCCATTTTATGTGACTGTGTGTTTCCTGGTCATAGCATTGATTAGTTAGGTGGGCGGAGCTAATGTTTCTATAATATTGGGTTGTGTCCAGTAGCAAATATTTCATTTATATTCAACCCGAGAACAACTTGAGTCAACAATAAATTCAATAGCTAGATCAGACTGATATCCAGTTAAAATTAAGAAAAGAAATGGAACAATTTATTAGAGAAGGTTTAAATGGCCAAGTTGGTATATTTGAATTGTTTACATCTGTTAAAATGAGTTGTAAAGGTTTAATTTTTATTTCATACCCGTCAACTGACCCGTATCCTGCGGGTCACACCCGAGAATTTCACCCCATACCCGGGATTTTTAAATACCCGCCGGGTCGTTAAATAACTCGTGAATTCGGAAAATGACCCGTTTTCACCCAGATTCTTGAGCCTTTAGACTGATTTCATAAGTGATTTTTTACCCTCATTTTCCTTTGAAATACCGGCAAATTCGCAATTCTTCCTGGACATGAAGTTCTAAAAGCTGTGTTAACTGTCAAATTAAGTGACCCACTAAGTGCATGGCTACACTTGACAGCTTTGGTGTCAAATACACTGTTAATTAACACCAATGACCTTAGCTTAAGGTCATGAATAATTTGTCTATTTCAAAGTTGTTGGACAATAAATTTGAGTTACTTCCCCTTTTTTGTCACTTTTCACAATATACTCCTTAATTTTATGTTTTTTTTTGTAAAAAGATTAAATGTCAATCAAATTGAATGCAAATACATATCAGAATATTACCTTCTTTTATTTTTCTACCTCAGAACAATTAGAAAAATTATTTTGAAAATTATTTTTTTTTATCTCTACTTCCTTTAAATGCTTAATTATTTTATTACATTCCAATATCAACAATTGTTTAATGATACATACTGGAAAACAAATAGCCTGAGATGATACTATGAATGAAACAAGGAGAGGGGTATGACTTGGCTTGAAATGATAAAGTATAACACATTTATATATATGTGAATGGCTCATTATGCAATGATAAAACAAAATTAAATTCAGTTAGTTCTTCACCATGTGAATATATTTTGGAAACTGTTCGATTTAAAATCTAAAGAAATGTCCTCTAAATACTTAAGTTCAGGTGAAAAAAGTTCGTACGCGTTATGACCTGAGATTTTCTTCTCCATTTTCATTTCCATTTTCATAGGTTGACAGGTATGCATAATTTAGGAACATACTACGGAATAAAATGATTCGTCTTTCAGCCAATAAAAAAAAATTGTATAAAAGATTGGTGATTTAGTAAATTGTCCAGTTGGGAAATATTTCATTTACATTCAACACGAGAACACATTTTGAGATGTATTTCTTACTTGTATTCTATTTTATTTTCGTTCACTCATTTTCTAATTAAAATCAAGGCATATTAATTATTCTATTTTTGACATGCACTAAAAAACAAGAAAGGTCGGACATCATTCACTAACACCTCTTAAATTTTTAAGGCGGGAATCAGCAAGGATGATATTTGTCCCTTTATAAAAAGCCCAAAGATATTTGTATAAAATCGGTCTTTTTTAAACACAAAATTGGATTAATTTTTTTTCTATCTGCCTTAAAGTTTAGAATCAGGAATTGACTTTGGAAGAGATTTCAAATGTTTGGAACCATCCTCGCCTTATACATGTATTTCGAAGCCGTGTCACGTTACATTGTTTATCTCCGAGTTGTTTTCTTTAAAAAATAGTGAGGCAACTTGCCTCATTTTAAGTTACGCCATACATCTAATACTTGTACATATGGGTGGACTCTAAATAAAATTTGCTCACTTACTTACTTAATCAAAGTCACGGATGGAAATCACTCATGGAAAGATTGGAAGAGTAGTTTGAATAATTTCAAATCATATTTAGGTATGGTGTGGACAAAAAGAACATTATTATAGCACTATTGCTGACAATTACATTTACTGTGTGTCTTAAAAAGGATAAGCACTTTCTCGGTAGATAAAATAAGCTAGATATGAATCAATGTTAGCGGGTCCCTTAATTTGCACAACAACTACGTTTAAATCACAATTTCATATTTCACCTTTTATGTTTTATTTTTAGAAACAGAAGAAATTACAAAATAAAATAAAAAATTTATGATGTAAAATGTAGACCTTACTTGAAAAACCTTTTTTACATTTAGATTTCACATCAGTTTCTCTTTTCTTTTGAAAAAGGGTCCAGTTAACCCTTGTCATTTATCTTTCAGACATAATTTAAACAATCACTTAGTAGTGTACATCAGAAGTAATTGGCAATGAACAACAACAAATGGAAGTTTTTAACGACCTTGACTGGCTATACAGCCCTTGCACGGTCGGCTCGGTGCCCGAAGGCGTTTGGTGAGCGTTTAAATAATTTTGTGCCATCGGTCAGGAACAGGTTGAGGACGCCATTTTGGTAGGCCGCCATCTTGGTTTTGCGAGTTGTTTTGGTTTTTCTTTTGTTGACTATTTTGATGTTATTTCTTCACAACGGCTTTTCAGGGCCAGATTGGTCAGCTTGGCAGCCCGCTAACCTCGATGATGGAGTACTGGTAGATGAGTCTCGGACGTAGTATTAACGATGACAGGAAGCATTATCAGGACCAAAGTCGTGAGACAGTGAAATGGTGGTCCATCATCTAACACCTAGGATACAGCCCTCGGACGTCACTCGGCATACCACTCCCCCATCCATAATGGGTTTTGGAGTGTATGTTGACGCGGGAATTTGCCCTACGCGGATTATAGCCTAACGTAGTCTGTACAGCGTTGGATTGGTTTCTGTCATCGAAAGTAGTAAGTCGTTGATCCATCTAACTGTAAACCCTCATCGAAGATAGCGGGTAAAGGAGTATCATTTCTATATAATTATAGAGGCCCCTCCCCCATTATATCAAACATCTAATCATTATCAGAGACATTATATACAACAGTTACTGTGTATTCAATAATAAGGTCAAGTATTTGTGTATTGAGATGTATAATGAAGGGTCAGTTTAATTATGTAAGACTGAGGTTGATTAGTAATTTGGTCAATATGATTGGCATTTAAGGAGCCTGGGACATTGTACTTAAGGCTCCACCTTTTCTCTGATTGTTTGGTAATCATGGCAGATGTCAATCATACTGGTATTGTATCATTAATCTTACCTAATTAAAATGACAAAATAGCCGGCAAATTGACAAAACTTAAAGACATACATACGTGAATGAACTGCTCTAAAGATTTAGCTCATACTGTTCATATGTGCATAGATTTGCATGAGGGTCGTAATGGGGGTACCTTCATGACGATTAACGGTATTAATTCTTGCCAAATGACGTTAACGGTAATTTTTGGTGCATGACGATAAAATGTACACTTTCTTTTAGACGATAAAAAAATCGACTGATTTTGACGAATCACGTTAAATTTTTTCCAAAAATAACGGTAACGATAATTATTTGAGACCTCTGACGAATCACGACAAGGATATTTTGACGAATCACGGTAAATTTTTAACCAATTTGACGCTAACGGTAGCCTAAAATGACCGTTTGACGCCTGACGGTAAAGGGCATTATACTACCCTCTTGCATATGTACAGACCCAGACAACATTGGTACGTTGGCACAACATTGGCCCAACGTATCTACATGCATTGGCCCGACGTTGTTTTTAAACGTTGGCCCAATGTATAAGTGCAAAGTGGCCCTATGTTGGCCCAACGTGATGGCTAAACGTTGGCACAACGTTGTAAGGTTTTATACAATACATTGGCCCAACGTTGGTCCAATGATGGAATAATACTTGCCGATGTTGAACAAACGTTGGGCCAACGTAGTAAAACAAACTGTTAACAAACGTTGGCACTCTGTTGGTTCAATCTGTAAACTTTTCTATCCATATGAAGGATACTAAAATCCCTTCCAGACAACAACTGCAATAATTCCTGGTTCTTACATCAGTCCAAAGTGGCGAAAGTAATAATTTTTTAAATGTTGCAATTATTGCGTTTTACAGATCCACTATACCATGTTGTGTCTTATATACTACCCGAAAATTTTGTATTTTTAGCAACTTTCTCTCAATCTTCCTGAACATACATGAAATATTTGTCAATGGACGTTTCAGTAACCAACAACCAATCAATCTTTCTCCAGGAATTGTACTTCTGAATTTTATACCCATATTTGTATGAACTCAATCAACGTATCCATGTTACCTATTTTTCTTAAATAATATAAATACAAAGGTATGATTAAATATAATTTATTATTAGCTAGACAACTAGCAAATTTTAAAAAAGTCTTTTTTTGTATCTATACGTTGCTAAATCAGATCTATAGAATGTAAATTTTAAAGTCTATTCATGATAGTTCATTTATCCCATTTGTATAATATCATTACAGTTTATGTTGCAATATCCAAGTTCTGTATGACGTCCTTGATAATTCATTTTATACAGCTATTTTTCTAGTTCTGTATTCCAACATGGTTTTTATTCACAAGAGTGTTCCTTTTGTTTTCTGCTACACTTTGTTTTGTCACTATTTCTGGCTCCGTCTAATGTTACATCCTTTTGAATATCCAGTTTAGCATATCTTTATAAAAGTTATTTCACTACATGTACCTCTGTAATAAAGTAATGAATAAATGAGTACTCAATGTATGTATATTTAGAATATATTAAATCCTCCTAAAAAATAAACAAAGAGACAAAAAATGAATTGTTTCCGGTGCCCTGGCACATTACAATAGATAGAAAAAATACTCTTTTTTGATATTTTCCCTAGCCTATACAATCCAAGGCAAAAGGCATATTGCATGCTTTACCATAATGACTAGACTTAACCTCCCTAGCTAGATTAAGCA